AGTAGAACTAATCATAAACCTTTCCCTAACCCTTAAACCTAACCCTAACCCCTAACATGAACCTACCAAACTTAACCTAAACTACTGATCTAAACTACCAATGATCTGAAAAATAAGACCTGAATTAAAATTCAAAGTGTGGATGGCCACATGATTTTGTAGTAACACCAATCAGAATTCAGATTAAATCTGTTTAGAGCAATGTAAAGTATGATTTTTAATTCTTGTGTTCACCCCAACCTTTACCTTTGGTAAACAGCACTGAAAGTATAGTGCACCTTCTGTCCCAATAACAAATAGAGAAGGTCAATCTCTTAGACAAAGACAGCAATAAAAGCATTCTAACCACTCACCACTCTATCCAAAGATACAAAAAAATGGCTTTACATATACTTTAGATTCCTAAGCCTTAGACATGAGATGGGTACTGCTCAATCTGACCATACTTAGCCAGATTTGTCATCAATATCATGTCATACACCGATGGGGAAGTCATGACTATTATAAAACCTTGTCAATGGCTGTTATCCCTGCACTGGCTTCCTTCTCACTGGATCATTTCATGTAGTTTCAATGATTTTGTTGCAGATTTTCAGCTTCCATAATTTGGTGCATCATGGAGAAGTAACATATCTTTTATCGTATGACATTTTGGACATCACAGTATTTTTTTATACTCATATCACAGTTCTGATATTTATCACAATGATAGTCCAAATGTATGGTTAATAGTTTAATGAATTGGTGTAGAGATTACATTGTTGTTATGGGTTAATAAGCGAGTACTACTTTTTTTGCGGGCATGATACGTTTAGGGGGTCATTCACAAAGCTGCCAAAGGCAGCCGAGTGAATAACCCAGCCGAAGTGAAGTGAGCCGAATGCTGTTCGGCTATTCACTTTTGGCTTGTACGGCTAAAATCAGCCGTACATTGGCTCCCTTCGGTCAGCCGAACATGCTCGGCATGTTCGGCTGAGCCAAGGTGCAGAAGGAATTCGACTCAGCCGATCCAACATCTGGATCGGCTGAGCCGAAGCTCCGGCAGCTTACTTGCTACCATTCGCCCCTCTTCTCATAGTAGCCGGATAGCAGTGAGTGTATAGCCGTATGCCACTAAGCGGCATTCGGCTCGGCTATTCTGCTCCCTACCTCCAAAGTACCGAGCAAAATAGAAAATAAGTGAAATAAATACAAAAAAAAGGAAAACAAAGTTGAAAAATTGTTTTAAAACTTAGGAAAATAAAAAAATGTAAATAGTTTAAAGAAAAGAAAATGTAAAAACAATTTTAAAAAACACCGGCAGCATTATTGGCAAAAGAAAAACAATTGGGCGGAGCTAGCAGTGACAGCTAGCTCCGCCCAGCTGTTTCCTATTGGCGGCACCTGCTAGAGTCTTCTAGCAGGTCCCGGGCCAATGAATTACAACTGGGCGGAGCCAGCCGCGACGCCACAGCCGAATCCGCCCAGTTGTTATTGTTTAATAACAGACCATCGCCCCCGGGTCATTTGGGGACGCTGATCTGTCATTACAACTGGGCGGAGCCAGTCGTAACATCAGGGCTGGCTCCTCCCAGTTGTCATCTGCGTGGAGATCGGCCGGCCTTCGGCTGACCTTTCTCCACGCTTCGGCTGTCACTTCGGCTCAGTCGAGCCGTGGCATATGCCTTCGGCTCGGCTGCTGTACGGGCTATTGTGAATAGCCCGTACAGCAGCCCTTCGGTACGACTGAACCGAAGGCCAGAGGCAGCCGAAGAGAGCCGAAGGATCAGCCGAAGCTACGGCTGGATCCTTCGGCTCTTTAGTGAATAACTCCCTTCGTTTCTGGGTGTGATAATAGTAACACATGCAATAAACATCATGGTAAAATTTGTGCCCTAAGATTTCTGGTCCTGAGACTTCCATGCCAAAAACAAGCCAATTTTTTATATGATACTTCGTCCCCTTTGTCACCTCATAGAAGAGACATAGGGTTGATTTACTAAAGGCAAATAGGCTGTTCACCTTTCAAGGAATTTTGCAATTTTCAGGGGAAGTTTCCCTTAGTTTAGTGAATGAGGTGAATCTTTGCTGACTTCCATCACCCAATCATGTGCGAGCAAAAATACTTTTAAAAAAATTAAAATTTCCTTGCACATGATTGGGTATTCTTTGCAAAGTGAAATGTTACCGCATTCACTAAGCTAAGGGAACCTTACCCTGCAAAGTGCACAATCCCTTGCAAAATAAACAGTCTATCTGCCTTTAGTAAATCAACCCCATGAGCTCTTAGGCAACCAAAGCATTCTTGTTTTTACCGCTGGCTCCACAGACATCTATAGACAGTTGGTACTTGCACATCCTGTGGTTCTCTGGGGTCCATGGACAGTTTTACCTGAGTAAATGTAAGTTTTCAAATCTAGAAGGTGATTGTGATTGTGACCAGCACATTTATTGTGCCACAATCACAATGATGCACCCCTGAAGGTTCCATACGTTACAATGATAAAGGATAAATTGCAGGTAAGGAAAGTTAACATTTATATTAACAAAAAGTAAGATATACTGTAGATTAAAAAAAGAGAGGGAATTACAATAAAATTACTCTTGAAAATATTTGTCAATTTCTAAGAAAACTGACATCTGGCAATAAGTGGTCTAATAAGGGGCCCACTGTTCCACCTTAGCGGTTTAGGATGTCACTAAATCCGAGTGACAATATGTGCCCTTAATATGCTGTGTGCAGAAGGTTGCATTAATTCTGTATGAAACATAATATAGTGTAAAATTCAGCTCCATGTGTCTAGTTATTGTGTTCTGTGACTGTGGTCTCTAAGTGCATTATATTCCTCTATTGAAAAGCACATGGGGTATGATTCAATAAGCCGTGCTCCTGGTAGAGCACTTAAATACTGCTGTTTTTGTTCACCTAGCTGCCAATCAATAAGTTCTCTTGGTTTACCAAGTACATTGTATTATTTCCTAAAATCAAACTGGATCTCAAATTGTGTTAAAGAAAAAAATACAAATAAAATAATAGTAATATTCTGAATGAAATCAGTAGCAGCAATCACTTTATATTTCACATGTGTTGCATGCCTAACATTCATTATGTGATCAGCAGGTCCATTCAAGCAGTAACTTTATCTAATATTTCAAAAATTTCAATAATAAATTGCAATTCTACGTTACTACATGAAATTCTGATAATGCTACAATTCAGGAATCTATGATTGCATAGTTATTAAATCTGAAACATTTCCTTTAATTAATAATAATAATAATAATTAATAAACGCATCAACAGTGAACCGATGCATTTTCAAGATGAACACATAGCTAAAATATTCATTATAATGTTCTAATACCATGGCTGAAGAGAAAAGAATACTGCTAATACATTGTACACAAGTTTTTTTTGTCATATTATTTTTAATTTTTGCAAAATAAAGTTCTTTTTTCATATTAGACAATCCTATTTGCCTTTTTTAGATGATTAAATCTTATATATTAATAGATGATTAACCTACATACAGCCTTTATTTAGGATGACTTACAATGAATCTATAAAACTGTATAATTACATTTTTGTGTATAACCCGCCAATAGGAATGAAAGACATAATTTAAGGTAGGTAGATAGAAAGTCCCTCCACACTCCCCACATCGCTCCCGGCCTGTGCTCACAGTGATGACCACGGATGGCGCACAAGGCAGAAAACAGGAATCACCAGCACCAGTAATATCGTTCAAATAACACATGTCCATTTATTTGGACAAATTGTCACAATGAAAAAAGCCAACGTTTCGGGGCCACACAGGATCCCTTCATCAGGGCAAGAAGATGTGACAACACATGCATATTGAAGAACCACATATATACCCTTTACCAATTACATTCAAAGTACCTCCCCGTGACATCATCATGGCGTGAAATCTGCCATGATTAGGTGAGCAGTATAAACACTATGCATAATATATTAAGCAACTAACACAGTGACCATAATAGACCATACCTGATGATAGATATACCTCTTCTGCCTCAATGTCAGTTCTTCGGGGAACTGTGACCCTCCCCTGAGGTAATTATTCAATGAAAGCTTGTCAGCTGTTTATTATGATGCATGCACTAGATCGTGGGGTGGCAGGGCTGAAGCATAGATATTAGTGCACAGTACCAGTGTATATTTGGAATCAGTGTGCACAGAACATGATTTACCTAATAACAAAAGGTACCTGCAGGTGCATTGTTAAGGTGCCCATACACTGTACGATTATCGTACGAGAATCGCGGGAAATCCCGCGATCGTACAATAATCGCACAGTGTATGGAAGGCATGCGACCGTTTCTACTGTACGTTCGCACGTCTTCCATAGAATAAGCAGGCTTGAAAACCCGCCGAGAATCATACGATTCTCGGCGGGTTAGTGGCCTGCTTGTTCGACAACTGCCGAACGCGCCAGTGTGCGCACGCTCACACTGCCCGTTTGCAGTCATCGGAAGATCAGCAGATGATCGCAAGTACGATCTGCCTGTCCAAGATGGGCAGATCGTACAAGCTTTTAATAAGCTTACGACCATCACAAGACATAAGTCTTGTGATGGTCGTAAGGTGTATGGGCACCTTTAGAATGTTATATTAGCTAGGGGGATGTGACATGTTCCCTTCAAGATGATTTTTTGGGGTTGATTTACTAAAGGCTGTTTGCTTTGCAGGAAATTTTTCCTTAGCTTAGTGAATGAGGTGATTCTCTGCTGACTTCCATCATCCAATTCAGTGCAAGTAAAAAAATGCTTTTTTTGTTTTATTCCTTGAACATGATTGGTTATTCCTTGCAAAGTACATTTTCACCACAATTACTAAGCTAAGGGAAACTTCCCCTGCAAGATCAACAGCCTATCTGCCTTTAGTAACCCAACCACGTAGTCACAACTTTAAAACTAGTAGACACTCAGATATGTATAAGGGGTATTATTCAATACTAATTTGCCAGAACGATATTTGTCGAGACTCATTCAGTGCATTCAGTATATCTTCATAGAAGCCTCAAACAATCTTGACAGGTCTTCTTCAGAGTGTAATCGAGGGGACAGCTTTGTCACTCGCTCCTGAAATACACAAATTCATGTAATTAACTTCAGATATATATTTACTTATGACAAAAGCCTGTTTCACATGAAACCTTACAATTCCACTGCTGCCATTATAATGTACAGTATGTGGACCAAAACTGGTCATTCATTTTTTAAGAACTACTTTAAGGCCTACAACAAGGGCATTGAATTGTAATGCAGAGCTGAAAGTGCACTAACTATAGCAGTAAAACGTTATAGCATTTACTTTTAGGGGTCTATTTATAAATATTCTCATACAAGATTCACACAACTTTCACCTAAGATTTACACATTTACATTTGAAAAAAATGTATGATTCCTGTGTGAAAGTTGTGTGAATCTTGTGTAAAAGCATTACTGGATTGCATACTGTGAAGGCTCCCTGCGTTCTGGGGCGGGAGGGTGCGTTCGCCAAAAATAGTACAATCATTATTTGTTTGAGATCACACTGGACCGGAACGCGGGCATTGCTGTGCCACGCGTTCTGGTGATCACACTGCGGCGGGACTTTACCAATTACATTCAAAGTACCTCCCCGTGACATCATCATGGCGTGAAATCTGCCATGATTAGGTGAGCAGTATAAACACTATGCATAATATATTAAGCAACTAACACAGTGACCATAATAGACCATACCTGATGATAGATATACCTCTTCTGCCTCAATGTCAGTTCTTCGGGGAACTGTGACCCTCCCCTGAGGTAATTATTCAATGAAAGCTTGTCAGCTGTTTATTATGATGCATGCACTAGATCGTGGGGTGGCAGGGCTGAAGCATAGATATTAGTGCACAGTACCAGTGTATATTTGGAATCAGTGTGCACAGAACATGATTTACCTAATAACAAAAGGTACCTGCAGGTGCATTGTTAAGGTGCCCATACACTGTACGATTATCGTACGAGAATCGCGGATGCGTTCGCCAAAAATAGTACAATCATTATTTGTTTGAGATCACACTGGACCGGAACGCGGGCATTGCTGTGCCACGCGTTCTGGTGATCACACTGCGGCGGGTGGTGAGGGAGCTGGCTGCAGTTCCATTGACTTGAATGCACCGCCATGCCCCATCACGTCCCAGAAAGCAGGGAGCCTTCACTGTATGCGATCCAGTCATTTCAGCAGCTAACCATACCGGAAAGCACTGGAGATAGTGTGAACAAGCCCTTCAAGTGTATGTAAACCCTAACAATAAATTCCTTTTTTTTTGCTCACTTAAGGTCTGTTAAAAGGTTTTTTTTTTTGTTTTTTATCTCTTCGATAAAGGTTAAAAAAATACCAGCTGGTCCTGTGTTCTCTGCCTCTGCTGACTGTTATTGGTTAGTGCTGTCATCAGAACTTCCCTGTTCTCTCTCACACCTTGCCCTATATTAAAGAGGGTGAGCAGATGGGGAGGTGAAATGTAGATCTTGCATACTTCCTAGGTGACAACCCTGCTTTTTCATAGATAAAGTACAGGAAGTAACAGCTGTCACCTTACGACAGGAAGTGTGTTGCTGGCAAGAACCGAAGGGTAAAAAAGTAAGGGAAACACAATGCCTGAAAAGAAAACTAATGCAGCCTCCACATCAAAGGACTGGTAAGCTGATTATATA